TTCAAGTCCATGATGGATAAATTTCCATTACCAAATCCATCATCAAAACCCTCAAGTAAACGTCCGATAGAAAAAAAAAAGTGTTTTCCTAAAAGTTAGAAAGTCAAATCTGCGAAGACTAGCGGTGAAATCAATTGATTTTAGAATTCCAATATGAAATAATAAATCAAAGGTGGAGAAGTAAATGGTACTCAAAGGTTACTCAACATGTTGTGTGTTGGAGATAGTTATGGCAACGGGTCAAGGTTGGGGCGGGTACCCCTAAACCCGCGACCTGCCCTGCCATCTATCACAATGCCCCGCCCTGCCCCGCGACCCGCGACGGGGCAAGGTTTTTTGACCCAAGGTACGCCCCGCACGGGGCGGGTAAAACCCGCCCTGCCCCATTTCGTTAATCCACCTATAGGCTATAGCAGATATAAAAATTAACCTGTATAACACACCAATCACCATCCATAAATACTTTTCAAATACTCAATAGCTAATACCATCCATAAAATATTAAGGCAACCCTCCCAAGTGCCAGAATCCAAAAATATTAAGGCAAACCTCCCAAAATATTCATTTTCAAACACAAATCCAAAATCAACTCTTAAACTCAACTACTAATTGATCAAAACTTCAATTACTTAAGATAATGCCAATCTTGAAACTTTATGCAGGCAGCAGCTGCGTCCCTTCCTCTAGACCAGCAAATAGCCAAACATGAAACATCTCTACTCCTAACTTTTTGGCTTTGTGCCATTACCCTGCAGCAAAATAGAAGCAGTAGTAAGAAAGAAGCAGCCAGGTTGCAGCAAGACAGAAGTAGCAGTTTGAAAAAGGCAGCAAGAAAGAAGCAACAATATAAAAGAAGCAACAAGATTGCAACAGTATAAAAGAAGCAACAAGATTGCAGCAAGAAAAAACAGAAGATCAAGAAAGAAGAAGCAATACCTCAGTTTCATTCTCTGATTCTTCATCAGAATCATGCATAACTGTATCATGTAGGTTCTCCTCTGGTAGCATAACATTGAATACAAGAGTAAGAAATAAACTACTGCACTAACTTTGTTTACATATATTATAACATTTACAAATATAATAGATAGATTACCTTTTGAATTAGCACGCAACCAACTCTGAGCGCACATCAAAGCTTCTATGGTGTGTGGCTTAAGCCTACTCCGATGAGAAGAAATGACTCGTCCACTAGTGCTGAAGGCAGACTCAGAGGCCACCGTAGAGATAGGAATAGCCAGAATGTCTCTTGCAAGCTTATGCAATAGAGGATACTTACCTTTGTTCGACTTCCACCAGCATAAAACATCAAAGTCGGGTGATTTGGGTACAATTTCATCATCCAAGTAAATCTCCAGCTCTGACCTCACATGTTTCCTTTTTTTTCGAGAAGCATACAAGTCAAATTTGCTTGCTAATGACCCCACAACACTGCCACCCTTTTGTTGACAGCTCAATTGACCATTCTCTTGTTCTTTCTCCCTTGCCTTCTCTTCATATTCTTCCACCAAGTTACGACATATACCACGGATCCTATCCATCTCAAATTCAGTGCTGCTACCATAGATGTCAGGAAAATAACAATCCAGAACATCCATTTTGAATCGCGGATCAAGTATGGCTGCCACCCCCATTAAAGCATGCACATCTAACCAATATTTATCATACTTCTCCAGCATTTCAATGGCCATATTCTCAATTTTCTCAATCCCACAAACACGCCACTGATTTATGGCAATCTTGATCTCACAAATCTCAGCAAAACATAAATTAGCAGTAGGATATTTGGTGCCAGAAAAAAGATTAGTTGCCTTGTAGAAAGTCTCTAGCCTAGTACATATCTCCTCTGTCATTCTCCAATCAAGTTCACTAGGCACGCATTTGTACTTCGGTTCACGAATCCTCAAGCGGCTAAAAACTTCCTTATACTTCAAAGCCGTGTTCAACATAAGAAAAGTTGAGTTCCATCGTGTTTCACAATCAAGTAAGAGCTTCTTACCAGTGGGCTTCTTCAGCTGGCGAGCAGTATCCTCAAACAATTCCCATCTCCTTTGTGTTAACAACCAGAAATGGATACTATCTCTTATCTTCTGTATGCTGTCCCCAATAACTTTCAAACCTTCCTTCACTATAAGATTCAGAATGTGCGCGCAACAGCGCATATGAATCATCCTCCCATGATCTAAAAGAGACTCCAAAGGAAGCTTCTCTATCAATCGAGTTATCATCGCATCATTTGTTGAGCAGTTATCGACGGTAATTGCTGATAACTTATGATCGATGTTCCAATCCAACAAACATTCCTTTAGAACTTCATACAAAGCTTCACTTGTATGAGGGGCAGGCACATAAATAAACCTGCAAATTAAGTAAAGATAATAAGTCACTGATTTAGAAGCACAATAACTTGTTCTTTCTATATAGAAACAATAATTGTTTTAAATTTGCAGCTGGAAATGTTCTTTCCATTTGGAAGCAACCCATTAATATAAGCTTCTTGAGTTCTTACACCTGTTCACAGAAGCAATCTATTGACCAAGACAATGTAAGCTGTTATTTCAAGGCTCAAATATGGTTTGTTTAGCAGGAAAACCATACTGTTGACATCTGTTTGGTCTCTGTTCTAGGATGGGCGCATTGACTACAGCGAATTCGTGGCTATGATGCAAGACTCAACATTCAGACCAGCAGGAAAATAATCCAGGCAGACCAGCAGGAAAATAATCGTGGCTATGATGCAAGACTCAACATTCAGACCAGCAGGAAAATAATCCAGGCTATGATGCAAGACTCAACATTCAGACCAGCAGGAAAATAATCCAGGCAGACCACCGGGTATGGTAAATCACAAACTTAGTCAGTAGCTAATTATGTCTAGTTCAGATTTACTTGTCTTAACACATTATTCATGATACCTGATAATTCGACTTTGCAAGTTCCATTTGTTGTCGACATAATGTGCAGTGATTGCCATGAATCCCTTTTCTGGGAAGAAGTCCACATGTCTGTAGTTATAGCAATTCGACCTTCATTCTTCTCTAGATGCTGCATTACAGCTTCCTTTTCAATGTCATATATGGCAAAACAATCCTTCCTAATGGTATTTCTTGTCACCATCTTGAAACAAGGGTTCAAACTCAAGCAGAAACTTCGGAACCCTTCATGATCTACAATCCTCAGAGGATACTCATGCTTGATTATTGCTTTGGCCAATTCTTTCGGAGAAGCCTCTTGATTGAAGTTGAAAGGGGTCAGTTGGAATTTTTCCTTGCTCATATTGCCGTGTAAAACTTGTTGCCTTATATCCATAGGACGTTGCGCTTTAGGACATCTAAGATAATGATTCTTTAGATGGTTTGTTCCTTGCTTTGGATCTCCGAGCAGTTTCTTCTGACAATACTTGCACTCGGCTTTTGGCTCGCCATCAACAGTTAATTTATTGTAGTGCTGCCACCATTTGGAGTAAACTTTACCAGCTGTACCACCAGTTCTCTTCAAGCAATTGTTGACAGCTTGATTTGTAGCAGGTTCAGCTTCAACTTCAGCAACAACTTGCATAATTTCAGGCTGAGATAATGGCTGGTCCGTGTTTGGAATGACAGCAGCGTCTGTTTGTTGTCTCTGACCCTCGTCCATGTTTTACATAATAAGCACTACAAGAGTTAAAACATGGAGAAGCAGGGACTACACAAGCAAGCATGACTATTGTAGGGAGTACAAGTCTACACTCTACAACAAGAAGGGATTATATAATAAGCAGGTACAGAGGTACTAAAAAATTGCAGAGCCTTGTTCTGTATAATATACAGGCAAAGAGTTAAATTGAAACATAGATAAGAAGGGACTACAACACGCAAGGAATGACAATTCCATAATCTATAACCTACAGGCTACGAGCCTACACTAAGAAACATACCTTTTCCGATCTTCTGGGATTGTCGGATTGGGATGTTGTCGCTGGTAACTCGGCAACAAGAAGATTTGTTTGACTGCTGGAGCTTCAGAGTTCAGATCAGAAGACGAAGATAGAAGAAGGAGAAACTGAAAGTGACGGGGAAATATGAAGGAGAAGGACGACAGTAACTTCAACCCTAATTCCATCTTGGTCTAGGAAAGGAAATCCTCGATTTTACAGGGATACGAGGAGTCGTTTGCCTTGATTCCGCCTAAGAACGCGTCCTACTTCAATGATGGAACCAATTTCCCAGGGAAAAGGCCAATAAAGGGGTAGAGCAACTACACGCCCGTCCTTCTAGTTCTCCGGAATATAGGCAAGCGATTGCGACGGGGCAGGTCGGGGCGGGACGGGGCGGGGTAAGAGGGATACCCATTTCTGCCCTGTTCTGGTTGCGGGTCGGGTCATAACCTGCCCCGTTCTAGGACGGGTCGGGTTTGGCCCGCCCCAGCACAGGTCGGGTCGGGGATAACCCGTCGGGTCGGGTATGTACTGCCATCGCTAGTTGGAGACTTTGGAAAGAGCGGAATGCAAGAACCTTCGAAGATAGATTATCACCACCAAAAGTAATATGCAGTAGAGTTGGAAGCCTCATTTCAAGCTGGTTTTTACTTTAATAATATTAATAGATGTCACCATTATAAAAAAAAAAAAGTAAATGTGTTGACGATTTTTATGGCAAATAGATTGGATCAATGGATTGGTGGATTGGATTGATGGATCCATGAATCAAGTAGATTAGATCAAATGGATTATTGGATTCATGAATTGGATCATATGAATTGGTGGATTGATTAAAATGTAAATTTTGAAAAATTAAAATAGTAAAATGTCATAATAAAAATTTTAGGTACCATAATGTAATTTTTCAATTATATTTTTATATAAAAAATATTTTTTAGGTACCAAATATAAAATATGAAAGGTAGAGGTACTAAATCATAATTTGTCATTTGGATTAATAGATCAATCAATGAATCCAATAATCCAATTGGATTTGAATCAAGTAGATTGAATTTAAATAGATTGGATTAGTTTGATATTTAAGTGGATGTGTTGAATACTTGAATTGGTGGATTGAAAATTGCCATGCAAAAAATTATGTGCTCCACTACTTGGTAGACAGAGTTTTACAGTTGTTTGCGCCCTTAACTCAATTCGAACTAATTAAACCGAATCACGAAAACAGGGCCGTGGAAGAAGAACATAATAGCTTTAATGAAGTCCAATCTAAGTTTCCTCCTGCCTCTCGTTTCACCGGAGAGGACGATTCACGATCTTACTCTGCCTGAACAGCTTGCTTGCTTGCCTCTGAGTTTATCGACTCTGAAATTCCTATTTAGCGATTCCTTCTACCACTACGTCGCTTGGAAGAGACCAACGTCCACCCATAAACATCATCTATTTTCTGAGGAACTACTGGAGAATCCACCATCATCATATTATCATCTCCACCACTTCCCGACGACGAAGCATCATCATCATCATAAAGGTCATCATCCTATTACAAATCACAGAAAGGAATCTAATAAGAGCTAATTCCAGGAGCCACTATCACAGCAATTATTTGCAGCAGCAAACCAACATAACAAATTCGTGTTAAGAGAAAGAGGGTGCTTTATTGATTTACTTACCTGTCTGATAATATATTGACGAGATGATGTTCTACAAGGCTCAGCAGCAGCCCTTCTCAACTTCTCAACAGAGCTATAGTTCCCTTCCATACATTCCTCGTGCATAATCATCATTTTCTCTGCTACCTGTTTAATTTTCAGCAGAGCAGGACTAATACTGAACATGAATGGGGTAGATCGGAACCGGTATAGAACAACTAGTAATGGAAAATAAACCCCTTTGCCTTTGGTTTCGAAGACATTCTTAAGAACAAAACAAAAACAAAAAATTGCAATCAACAATTGAATCAGTACCATAGAAATTGCCCCATCAATTTCAAATCAGAAAGTGTTACCTCCTCAATTTCAACGCCATCATCATTCATGTCGATGTGGAGATGAGCATACATGGTTTCGTCGAGAATGTTCTCGAGGTCATCGATATAAAGCGGCTCATTGGCTGGATTGTTGCAAAAGAGTCAAAAATTAAGAGAAAGGAGTGAGGAATTGCAATGGCAGAATAGCATATTCAAAGATAATCCAGGCGAAATATAAAAAATTTACAGCAGAATAGGAAGTCCCATCATAATTAGGGTTTGAAGTTTTTCTTTTTACCTTTGCGCTGTTTGGTGAACCAGGAGTAAACATCCGAAGCGAGTTGATCGGCTAACTGGCGGGAGCCGCGACCGCCGGACTCGTTATCGAGGGCGAAAAGAAGAACTGCCCATCGGGAGAGGATCAAATATATTCCTTCCTTCAATATCATGAGATGATTTGCAGCTGCGCCATTGGCGTTTCGAGGGTCTCTTCCTTCATCCATTCTTACTTGCTTCCCCAAAGCGCAGAATCCCTAAAAGGTTCTAAGAGGTTGAAAACCCTAGCTGCAGGGAGCGGCCGAATCCCAATCAGAGCTCGGATCGGAGAAAAAAGGCAAATCCGTTTGGGGGTTCAGTTAGCACTTAGCATGCAAAAATAGTATGACAAAGGCGGGATTTGCTTGCTTCCAAGGTTGTCAATCCGCGGCTGGCCCGGACCCGGTTGAGCTAGTGGGTCAAGGGTTAATGGGTCAATCGATTTAGTTTGGTTTGGCCCAGAAATATGGAAAAAGTCATTATATTGTATTTATCCTAATAAATTATATAAAATTTTATCTAACATATGAGTTATAACATATAATATTATACCAAAATAAAATATCGTACTTAGATCCAACATATAGTGAAAATTCCCACACACTTATATAACATCAATATTAAAATGTTCAACTTAGGATTCCAAAGCTTGAGTTAGGCGAAAAGAAAATCGGAAAATAGGCGCATTTCGCAAACCAAAGAAAAAAATGACACAATTTGACCTCCAACCCGGTACCTTGTAGCGGTCGACCGGCGGGTGCGTGCGGCCCGTTTTACTCACCAGATCAGGGTCAAAGTGGGTCGACCCGCGGGTTAACAACCTTGTTGCTTCTCAAACTCACGAAATTTTTTGGGAATTGCTAATTGTTGCCCTAATTCTAGTTCAATCGCCCCAATTTAAAATGAAATCATAATCCTTCTTTATTGTTTATTATGTTTCATTGGAGAAAATATTTAATTATAAGAAATATAATTGTCCTACCACTACCTACTGCCGCCACCGCCACTACTCTCAACTTCTCGTCGCCGGCCCAGGCTTTTGTATGGGGTGTGGGACTGCATATCCGAGATTCAGATATAAGCAGGTGAGCAGTGGAGTTATGAGCTAAGATCATGTGACTAAGTGGGGTTCCCTTAGTCATGTGATTTAGGATACCGATTCGTGGAGCGGGAGCGAGAGCTGGAACGGGAGTGGGAACGTAAGAACGTCCGTTTCAAGAGAATTATATATTTAGAGTGCCAAAAAAACGTTAATATTATACTATTAAAATTAAAATATTATTTAATATACTATTATATTGTTTACAAAATATCAATAATTCAACAAATACACTAGCTAGTGTAAAAACACCTAAATTTAATTATCCGAGTTATAATTATTAAAAATGAAAGTGAGATATAATTCTCATGCACCCAAAGCTATGTAAAAAAAAATTACAATGGACCGAAGCCCAAACCAAGTCCATGAACTAAGCCTACGCCATCTCTTGCCCCCTTCTTCCCCACATCAGAGAAAACTTCTCGATGCCCTCTCAGAAACATCCCTCGCCGCATTCCACACCCTAGTCCCGTCGTCCAACATCTTCTTCCGTCCTCATCGACAAATCCCCCCTTCTCCCATGCAGCCTTTCAATCTGCAAACCAGATCCGATGGTGATTTCCAAAAACTCCAGTAACTCAGAAGTAGATCGGACCTCTTTCTGACTTCTTCCGTCAGGCCGACCGGCGGTATCATCTGTTAGAAATCGAACAGTAAAAATCAGGGTTACCGATCTGGCTGAGTCGCAGACTAGGTCGCTCTCTTTAAGACGTTCGCGGCACTGCCTTCGTTGCGCACGGCAGACTATCAGCCGGTCGCCTCCAGGATAAAACAGCCACTCTAAATTTATTGCTCATCGGTTTTGTGCGAAAACCGGAGCTCTATGAACTCACTCTCTATCTCGTGTTTCTGCTCTCTGAGGTGTATTTAGAGGGTCTAGGGGTCTGCTATTTATAGGAGCAGAAAACCTAGAATATTCCCTCTTTCTTTGGGAATAAGTCACATTTTAATTAGGAAGATAATTACTCCCATAATTAAGATATATTATATTAAAATAATTAATACTAATTATCTCCATAATATTCTTGTTATTAATTATCCTTCTTATTTTTGTATCTAGAAAGAATACTGGATAATTTATTTAATATAGCTTTCAAAGCTATTTATTCCCAACAATCCCCCACTTGAATAGTTTTGAAACTATCTCTGAGCATCAACAGATCCATAAGATCGGGCATAAGCTAAGGTATTGCGAAGATTTGAACCTTAGCGTAGTGGTTACAATTCCGATTTCATAAGGGTGACTCGTAGTCTTGAACCCTATCTCAGACAATGTAGCACACCGGATCTTTTCATTGAGTGATGTTCTCTCATAGGCCGTGCGTTAATGGCCATGCACGTTATCCCGGTTTAGTGAACGCTCTAGCAACTTTGTGCCTCCAAAGTTCCATAGGGAGCGGCCTCACTCCCACATTCACATAGGTGAGTCTATCAGGAGTACCCCCAAAGTAAAGTACTCCACTCCACATAGAGTATAGATCTCATTAAGAGTTGAACTCAACCTCCAAGGCTTTGGGATTCATGCTTCACTATGCATGAACTTTTCTCAATATTACTCATGACTTGTTATTACCCATTGAACCCGTTTCTTGGGATCTCCAGTCTATCGGGTCGGGTTACCATCACTTGTAATTCATGGTTCGGTAGGCATATGTCTCATACCCTTCGTGGTATTTTGGACTTTCTCTCTAGATAATCCTTTCGTCAAAGGATCAACTAGATTCTGTTAGGATCTTACAAGATCCACCCTCATTGCTCCTATCGTTAGGAGTTCTCTTACAGTACTGTGCTTACGACGAATTTGTCGTCTCTTTTCGTTCTAGAACCGGTTCCCTTCTTTAGTAATAGTTGCGGTGCTATCACAATGAATCAACTACCGGAGGGATCGGTCTTTCCCATAAGGGAATCTCTAGTAATGACCCTCTCAATCAACTTTCCTCTTTACTAGCCATTGCTAGTTCTATCATTCCTGTTTTCTTAGTTGATTGAGCCAGGATCGTTTACTTCTTAGACTTCCAAGACATAGCTTCTCTATCGATGTTTAAAACACATCCTCTTGTTGTCTTGGAGTCCTCTATAAGGTATTCTAATCCGCATCATTATACCCTACCAATACAGCAAAACCTTTGATAACAAATACCAAGGTTTTTCTGTTCTTTTAAGGTGTCTCATGACCCCTTTCAATAGCATTTCAATGCTTCATACTAGGACAATCAGTAAGCCTGCCAAGTACCCCCACTATGTCGGGTCTCATGTTTACCAGCTGCCTCACGCAGACTGTCGATGCTAGTATATTCTAACTTTCTCTGTTTCTCACACTGTTTCCAGTGTTCTTTAATATTTACACTAGCATCATCAACCATTTCTGCAGGCATACTGCTTGTATTTCTTCTAGATCTTAACTATGTAGTTAAACTGATCTAGAGGAAATCTATTCATTGTCACAGTTACATGGATTTCCTAGCTTACACAAGCTTCATCGAGAACATTCAAAATTCTCAAACATGGTTTTTTCATATCGACATATCGACGTGTCATTCATAATGCAAGTGTCATTCTCAAATTTGTGCTAAATGCACTTGTCACTTTCACTTTTAAAACCATGAGAGAGAACCAGTTTATCCATGTCATCGTCTTAGAGTCTATTTCAAATCTTACAATGATTTGTCTAACTATAGACTCCCTGAGCATGTTCAGGAATAGCAACCCTATAGGTTGTCCCATGTAGATTTCTCTATCTAAATCACCATTCAAAGAAACATGTTAAACAATCCATCTGACGCACAACACTAGCAATCGGAACATACATGGATGTTATTCTACATATGGTGAATAGATAACAAGAAAATTTACAATTTTTCCTTTTCGCTTAAAGCCTTAGCTATTAGGCGATCCTTATACTCATAAACTAAACCAATAGGTTTCACTTTTCTTTTAAGAATCCATTTATTACCCATGACTTCATTGCCAAGAGGTAATTCTCAAAGATGCCAAATCTTGTTCGATTCTATCGATATATTACCCAAGGCTTTTCAACCAAGAGGTAACTCTACAAGATTTTAAGTCTTATTAGACTCCGATAATTCCATTTCGTTAATAATGGATTCTCACACAATTCTGCATCTTTATGGAAGTTCGAACTTCTAGCAGACTTGTAGGATCTTTCTTTCTTAGGGTGTAAATAACAAATTCATAACCAAAATCCTTTCGTGATTTATGGTTCATTTGTCTCTTCTGAGTTCATACTCAGATTCATCACCCCCACTAGTTATCCATTATTTCTAATAGTAGGCAGGACACTACCCCCACTATTTCTTGATTTAAAATGGAAGTTTCTTGGCATTAATGGATTTCACAACAACATGAGTATTTCATTTCATAGGAACTATGTGTTTTTATTGTTAATATCATAAATCACACTCATATGCTCTTCTAGTTATCATGCTACACTGATTTTCTAACGCTACCACATGCATGCCACATATCGAATCATCAGTGCAATCATAATGCAACTAGGCATTTCAACATATTTCGAATAACTAGTTAGACAATCAGAGCAATCTAAAGAGCAATAAATTATTTATTGTCTTTTCCATCAAGTTTACCCATATCAACATAAATCAGATCTATTGATTCTGATTCTCTAACCACATATTTTATGGGTCATTTTGCTTGGATACAAATTTTTTTATTTATCTCAAGCATTCGAGAATAATATGAATGTGACTTTAGATATTCTAATTCTTTACAAGGACACACACGTCCCAAAAAGAATCCATCTTAGATCGTCTATCACAGACATGCCTTGGGGCACTAGTATCCAACAACCATTCTCCAGAGTTACCATTAAGGCTAACCTCTGTCATCACCTAAGCGATTATTATTGCCAAATCCTCTTCTTTAATCAAGTTAACACAATACTATGTTAAACTTGCTCTAACACTTTCGTGTCATATGACCTAGTTTTTCTCAAATTTAATTGAGAAACATAGCGTCATTCTTAGAGGATTGAGTGGCAATCTTATGGTTACCACGAAAGGTATCATTCTATTTGGTGTGGATATGGTTCGGCTTGATGCTCTCATTCTTGAAACTTTAATGTTTCAGAGCAGTCTAAGTGGTTCGTGTAGTACTGATAATAGTACTTCTTGCAATATCGTTATTATGGGTAATAACCCATTCTATTCCCAAATATTCTTCAAAATAAATATGGGCATACAACCCATTTCCATAGCATATGACTATACAATACACATTCATATATACGACAGAGTATGAA